GATGGATATTAATTCCAACATGGATGTTAACGATATTAAGCCCATCATATCGAGTAAAATTAACGAGGAATTAGATGATTTACATAGTATAAAATACCAGCTGACGATTAAAATGACATTGAGTAAAAGTAACACAGACGATAGCACCGAATATACCGAACCATATTTCCGTAGCAATCAAGAAGTTATAACCGAATCCGATACTATAAACTCATCATTAGATACATCAATTCAGAGGATACAGGAAACTTTAGAACGCTGGACTAATAGAGGTTCTGGTTGGGGTGTGGATAAAATCGATAGTTTATATTTAGATATAGCGAATTATATGCCTTTCAAAGGTGGATCTTATATAGATTTACCCCCGTATTATAAGAAGAAAAAAGGCATAATTAATGTAAAAAATAAATCCGATGACTGTTTAAGAATGATGATAAGATCTGCATTGTTCCCCGTAGACAAGCATCCGGATAGACCTTCTAGCTATCCCCAAAACGATGGACTCAACTTCGATGGTATAGACGAACCTACACCAATATCACAAATTGATAAGGTGGAAAAGCAAAATAATTTAGCTATAAATGTTTTTGGACATTCTAAAGGAATTGTTATACACAGGATACGCTCCGCTCCGGAAAATATCCCCAGAATCAATTCATTTCTGATCGAAAAAGATGGTTAATATCATTATACGTGGATAAAGAGTTTAAACAGGCTATTATACGATCAAACAAAACATAAAGAAAAGAAATATTTCTGTGAAAGATGCCTGCATGGGTACAGCAGACAAGATCTATTAGAAGCGCATAAAGAAGACTGTAGAGGTGTTGGACAGAATGCTATCAGGATCGATATGCCTAAAGAAGGAAAATATATATTAAAATTTGAACATTATTGTAATCAAATGCCAGTACCGTACGTAATTTACGCCGACTTCGAAGCGCTTATCAAACCCATAGAAAATACCAACCGTAGCAATACTGATAATAGTTTTACGTACAAAACTAAAGAACATATTCCTTGTGGGTTTGGATATATAGTTGTAAGGTATGATGGGAAAACAAACACTCCCGTGATTTACAGAGGACCTGATGCAGCGGGAAAGTTCCTAGAATATCTACAAAATGAAGAGAGAATAATCAGGGAAAAATTATCGTGTAAGAAACCCATGCGTATGACGAGGGATGATTGGTGGGCTCATAAGAAGTCAACGAGTTGTCATGTTTGTAACAAACCCCTGGATGGGGATTCCGTAAGAGATCATTGTCACGTCACGGGTAATTATCGGGGAGCCGCTCATAACGAGTGTAACTTGAAACTAAAAATGAACTCTCAAACAATACCCATCCCCGTTGTGTTTCATAACCTTAGGGGATACGATTCACATCTCATTATGCAAGCTATCTCGAAGATCGACGGCGGTTTAACGTGCATTCCTAATAATATGGAAAAATACATATCGTTCTCGTTGACTAAACCTATACATTATAGGGACAAGGATGGGTAAGCCAGAATAAAGCAAATTAATGGGCTTAGATTCATAGACTCCGTACAGTTTCTGTTATCTTCCCTGGACAATTTAGCTAATGCGAACAATCCCGATGACTTCGCGATAACAAATAAATATACCGATAAGATAACTCGTCATTTGTTGCTGAGAAAAGGTGTATATCCTTACGAATATATGGATGATTGGTCTAGATTTGAAGAAACTGAATTACCACCCCTCGAATCATTCTATAGTAACTTAACAGAATCTAGAATAACAGATGCCAATTATGAACACGCTCTGATGGTCTGGGATAAATTAGGTTGTAAGAATTTAGGCGATTATCACGATCTGTACTTAAAAACCGATGTACTGTTACTCGCCGATATATTCGAGATATTTAGAAAGACATGTTTCAAACAATATGGCTTGGACCCGGCATGGTACTATTCCAGTCCCGGACTATCGTGGGATGCATTGTTGAAGAAGACCGGCGTGGAACTAAAACTACTCACAGATTACGATATGCACTTGTTTATTGAGAAAGGATTAAGAGGTGGTATATCGATGGCAGCTAAAAGGTATTCTAAGGCTAATAATAAATTAGTGGAAGGATACGATCCCAGTAAACCCAACACTCACATATTATATCTCGACGCTAACAATTTGTACTGATGGGCTATGAGTCAACCTTTACCCACGGGTGGTTTTGAATGGGTCAATGATATCGAAGTGAATGATATCAATGTGAATGATATCGAAGTGAATAAAGGGTACATACTAGAAGTTGACTTGGAATATCCAAGTTCGTTACATAAAGATCATAACAGTTATCCGCTAGCTCCCGAAAGATTAATGGTTAATAAAGATTGGATGTCGGAATATCAACGCTCCTTGATGGGTAATAGTAGGTTAGCTAACGTAGAAAAACTCGTACCAAATTTGATGGATAAGACAAAATATATAGTTCACTACAGAAATCTCCAGTTGTATCTATCGTTAGGTATGAAACTTAAGAAAATACACAGAGTTCTAAAGTTCGATCAAAGCCCTTGGATGGAGCCCTATATAAGGTTGAACACAGATTTAAGAAAGATAGCTACCAGCGATTTCGAAAAGAATCTGTATAAGCTCATGAATAACTCGGTATTTGGTTAAACTATGGAGAATCTAAGGAAGCGTGTTGATGTTAAATTAGTCAGATCTAATGAGGAAGAAAGACTCAGGAAACTTATAGCCAGTCCGGCTTTTAACAGAAGCAAGATATTTGATAACGACTTAGCCGCGTTGCATATGCAGAAGAGTAATATAAAATTCAACAGACCGGTGTACGTTGGTATGAGTATTCTCGACTTGTCAAAACATTTAATGTATGACTTTCATTACAACGAACTTAAGAAGCAATACGGCGATAGATGCGAGGTGTTATATACCGACACAGATTCTTTGTTGATGGAAATACAAACCGAGGATGTGTATAAAGATATGGCAGAAAAAATAGATATGTATGACACGAGCGATTATCCTAAAGATAATCCACTGCACAGCGTAGTAAATAAAAAGGTGTTAGGTAAGATGAAGGATGAATGTGCTGGGACCCCTATAGCGGAGTATGTGGGATTAAGACCTAAGATGTATTCTATAAAGAAGTCCAATAATGGAGAGATAAGAAAAGCTAAGGGCGTTAAGAAGTATGTTGTAAAAAAGCATATCAAACACGAACAGTATAAAGAATCATTATTTAACGGTAGAACGTTCAAACACGAGATGAACTCTTTAAGAAGTTACAATCATAGGATATATGGATTAAGAATGAACAAGACATCATTATCCCCCTTAGATACAAAGAGATGGATTGATAATGATGGTGTAAATACCTATGCTTATGGTTATGGTGGTAATACCATACCGTCGGGAACTATGAACAACTCTTCTCGTACAAATGCCCTACCCGGTCCATCTTGAAGATAATAAAGAATAGGCTCTCCTTCTTTCGTAACCAATCTACTAATGCTATACGTCTTAAGGGACCATATGGGATCGGTTGCGCGACGTAGGCCTCCTTCGAGTTCACCGGCCTGGTATAAATATCTTACGCTTACTCTATCCGGAAGTTTTCGTTCTTTGCCTCTCCTCGGTGCTGAAGATTCGGAAGTCACTGATTTCATTTTAATAGCATGGGATGGTTTCTTCCCTATTAATCTCGTTACTTCATTATTCAGCGCTGATACAACGGCTGATAATCGTGTCACCCATTCGGTTGATCTCAATCGCTCGGATTTCATTTCGATCCCATACTGATAGCCAAACAAACGTTCCGCTAATGTCCTGTTAAATCTTTCGACGATAGCTTGACTGCGGTGGGCCTCTCTTTCACCACGGACGATTTCAACATCGTTCTTTGTTAACAGTTTAGTTACCGATCCGATAAACTCGCGACCGGGATCTACTTGAAATTGCTTAGGCCATTTTAGTGGTCCGCGTTTATATATGCGGCTCAGCGCATTAGCTACTTCTGTTGACTCTTTCGAGGTTAATGGCTCTGCCTCTTTGTATCGACTAGCCACATCCACTATTGTTAAAGCGTATTTATACGTTTTGCGTCTTACCTTATCGTGGGGAAGAAACAAGAGGTCAGCCTGATGAACTTCATTCGTTGTAAAAATATCAAACTTCTTCCTCGGTATATAACGCGGTGCCGGTAAATATATCTGCCACATCGCTTGTTTCTTTAACCAATCCTTGGCCACATCTTTAGATACCTTAGCCGCGGTGGCTAATTTTTTTATTGCTCCTACACCTTTCCAATATCCTCGTGGGCTATAGTAAATTTTATCCATTATTAATTAATATTGATGTTTCGTTTAATACAACTTATGACTATCATTGAATCGCATCATCATTTTGGCATAAAAAATGCCACCTGTAGTAGCAGTATAGGTATATGAATCCGGCTCCAGTGGAAGTGGTCCAGAACCCCCATTACCTATAAAAATTTATATCATAGACTCCAGGTGGTGGTGAGCTGGAGTCAATTTAACTTAATCTTATGACTATCATTGAATCGCATCATCATTTACGCATAAAAAATTCCCTCTGTAGTAGCAGTATAGGTAATAAATCTGGCTCCAGTGGAAGTGGTCCAGAACCCCCATTACCTATACTACTGGGAAATATTTTTAAATTCAGTCCAAATTTGATAATTCAATCTGTGATGTAGCTGTTATGTCTCATGATGTGTTTTAAGGCAACGAATGAACAGGAAAAAAGGAAAAATAATATGCCTTGAAATATTCAGTTTATGGTACTTTAGCCAATTTGGTCCAGTTTCAGTAATTTGGAAAATATCTTTAAACTTCAGTCAAAATTTAAAAATTCAAGTTCAAATGTTGCTGTTCTGTCTGATGATGTGTATTTAAGCGAGGAGTATGTATTAAAAAAGACAATATATCCATTGGACTCATCAATTTATGGGATTTTAGCATCACATACTTTATTTTTTTCATTTCAGGTTTCTCCATGTGAATAGAACAGATTCGTCCGCATTCAGAAGTTTCCCCACAGTAATGCAGAAAATTCATTCTGGGATGTTGTCGTTTAGTATGGTTATGTGTATTTAGGCAAGGTATAAACATAAAAGAAGAGAAAATTATATCCTTTGAAATCATCAGTTTATGGGACTTTAGCCAATTTTGTCCAATTTCAGTACGGTGAAAAAATCTTCAAAATTCAGTCAAAAATTTAAATTTCATTTTTTGATGGAGCAGTTAAGTCTTACAATGTATTTTAAGGCAAGAAACAAATAGAAAAAAAGAATAAAAATTATATCCTTTGAAATCACCTCATTATTGGACTTTAGCCAATTTGGCCCAGTTTCAGTAATTTGGAATCAATCTGTAAAATTCAGTCCAAAATTAAAAATTCATTCTGGGATGTTGCCATTAAGTCTGGTTATGTGTATTCAGGCAAGGTATACATATAAAAGAAGAGAAAAATATATTCTTGGAAATCATCAGTTTATGGGACTTTAGCCAATTTGGTCCAATTTCAGTACTATGAAAAAACCTGTAAAATTCAGTCAAAATTTAAAAATTCATTCTGGGATGTTGCCGTTTAGTCTGGTTATGTGTATTTAGGCAAGGTATACATATAAAAGAAGAGAAAAATATATTCTTGGAAATCATCAGTTTATGGGACTTTAGCCAATTTGGTCCAATTTCAGTACTATGAAAAAATCTTCAAAATTCAGTCCAAATTTAAAAATTCATTCTGGGATGTTGTCATTTAGTCTGGTTATGTGTATTTAGGCAAGGTATACATATAAAAGAAGAGAAATATATATTCTTGGAAATCATCAGTTTATGGGACTTTAGCCAATTTGGTCCAATTTCAGTACTGTGAAAAAATATCTAAAATTCAGTCCAAATTTGAAAATGCAATCTGGGATGTTGCCATTTAGTCTGGTTATGTGTATTTAGGCAAGATATACATATAAAAGAAGAGAAACATATATTCTTGGAAATCATCAGTTTATGGGACTTTAGCCAATTTGGTCCAATTTCAGTACTGTGAAAAAATCTTCAAAATTTAGTCCAAATTTAAAAATTCATTCTGGGATGTTGCCATTAAGTCTGGTTATGTGTATTTAGGCAAGGTATACATATAAAAGAAGAGAAATATATATTCTTGGAAATCATCTGTTTATGGGACTTTAGCCAATTTGGTCCAATTTCAGTACTGTGAAAAAATATCTAAAATCCAGTCCAAATTTGAAAATGCAATCTGGGATGTTGCCATTTAGTCTGGTTATGTGTATTTAGGCAAGGTATACATATAAAAGAAGAGAAAAATATATTCTTGGAAATCATCAGTTTATGGGACTTTAGCCAATTTGGTCCAATTTCAGTACTGTGAAAAAAAATTCAAAATTTAGTCCAAATTTAAAAATTCATTCTGGGATGTTGCCATTAAGTCTGGTTATGTGTATTTAGGCAAGGTATACATATAAAAGAAGAGAAAAATATATTCTTGGAAATCATCAGTTTATGGGACTTTAGCCAATTTGGTCCAATTTCAGTACTATGAAAAAACCTGTAAAATTCAGTCAAACTTTGAAAATTCATTCTGGGATGTTGCCGTTTAGTCTGGTAATGTGTATTTAGGCAAGGTATACATATAAAAGAAGAGAAAAATATATTCTTGGAAATCATCAGTTTATGTGACTTTAGCCAATTTGGTCCAATTTCAGTACTGTGAAAAAATCTCTAAAATTCAGTCCAAATTTAAAAATTCATTCTGGGATGTTGCCATTAAGTCTGGTTATGTGTATTTAGGCAAGATATACATATAAAAGAAGAGAAAAATATATTCTTGGAAATCATCAGTTTATGGGACTTAAGCCAATTTGGTCCAATTTCAATACTGTGAAAAAACCTGTAAAATTCAGTCAAAATTTGAAAATTCATTCTGGGATGTTGCCATTAAGTCTGGTTATGTGTATTTAGGCAAGGTATACATATAAAAGAAGAGAAAAATATATTTTTGGAAATCATCAGTTTATGGGACTTTAGCCAATTTGGTCCAATTTCAGTACTGTGAAAAAATCTTCAAAATTTAGTCCAAATTGAAAAATTCATTCTGGGATGTTGCCATTTAGTCTGGTTATGTGTATTTAGGCAAGGTATACATATAAAAGAAGAGAAAAATATATTCTTGGAAATCATCAGTTTATGGGACTTTAGCCAATTTGGTCCAATTTCAGTACTGTGAAAAAATATCTAAAATTCAGTCCAAATTTGAAAATGCAATCTGGGATGTTGCCATTTAGTCTGGTTATGTGTATTTAGGCAAGATATACATATAAAAGAAGAGAAACATATATTCTTGGAAATCATCAGTTTATGGGACTTTAGCCAATTTGGTCCAATTTCAGTACTGTGAAAAAATCTTCAAAATTTAGTCCAAATTTAAAAATTCATTCTGGGATGTTGCCATTAAGTCTGGTTATGTGTATTTAGGCAAGGTATACATATAAAAGAAGAGAAATATATATTCTTGGAAATCATCTGTTTATGGGACTTTAGCCAATTTGGTCCAATTTCAGTACTGTGAAAAAATATCTAAAATCCAGTCCAAATTTGAAAATGCAATCTGGGATGTTGCCATTTAGTCTGGTTATGTGTATTTAGGCAAGGTATACATATAAAAGAAGAGAAAAATATATTCTTGGAAATCATCAGTTTATGGGACTTTAGCCAATTTGGTCCAATTTCAGTACTGTGAAAAAAAATTCAAAATTTAGTCCAAATTTAAAAATTCATTCTGGGATGTTGCCATTAAGTCTGGTTATGTGTATTTAGGCAAGGTATACATATAAAAGAAGAGAAAAATATATTCTTGGAAATCATCAGTTTATGGGACTTTAGCCAATTTGGTCCAATTTCAGTACTATGAAAAAACCTGTAAAATTCAGTCAAACTTTGAAAATTCATTCTGGGATGTTGCCGTTTAGTCTGGTAATGTGTATTTAGGCAAGGTATACATATAAAAGAAGAGAAAAATATATTCTTGGAAATCATCAGTTTATGTGACTTTAGCCAATTTGGTCCAATTTCAGTACTGTGAAAAAATCTCTAAAATTCAGTCCAAATTTAAAAATTCATTCTGGGATGTTGCCATTAAGTCTGGTTATGTGTATTTAGGCAAGATATACATATAAAAGAAGAGAAAAATATATTCTTGGAAATCATCAGTTTATGGGACTTAAGCCAATTTGGTCCAATTTCAATACTGTGAAAAAACCTGTAAAATTCAGTCAAAATTTGAAAATTCATTCTGGGATGTTGCCATTAAGTCTGGTTATGTGTATTTAGGCAAGGTATACATATAAAAGAAGAGAAAAATATATTTTTGGAAATCATCAGTTTATGGGACTTTAGCCAATTTGGTCCAATTTCAGTACTGTGAAAAAATCTTCAAAATTTAGTCCAAATTGAAAAATTCATTCTGGGATGTTGCCATTTAGTCTGGTTATGTGTATTTAGGCAAGGTATACATATAAAAGAAGAGAAAAATATATTTTTGGAAATCATCAGTTTATGGGACTTTAGCCAATTTGGTCCAATTTCAGTACTGTGAAAAAATCTTCAAAATTTAGTCCAAATTGAAAAATTCATTCTGGGATGTTGCCATTAAGTCTGGTTATGTGTATTTAGGCAAGGTATACATATAAAAGAAGAGAAATATATATTCTTGGAAATCATCAGTTTATGGGACTTTAGCCAATTTGGTCCAATTTCAGTACTGTGAAAAAATATCTAAAATTCAGTCCAAATTTGAAAATGCAATCTGGGATGTTGCCATTTAGTCTGGTTATGTGTATTTAGGCAAGATATACATATAAAAGAAGAGAAAAAAATATTCTTGGAAATCATCAGTTTATGGGACTTTAGCCAATTTGGTCCAATTTCAGTACTATGAAAAAATCTTCAAAATTTAGTCCAAATTTAAAAATTCATTCTGGGATGTTGCCATTTAGTCTGGTTATGTGTATTTAGGCAAGATATACATATAAAAGAAGAGAAAAATATATTCTTGGAAATCATCAGTTTATGGGACTTTAGCCAATTTGGTCCAATTTCAGTACTATGAAAAAATCTTCAAAATTTAGTCCAAATTTAAAAATTCATTCTGGGATGTTGCCATTAAGTCTGGTTATGTGTATTTGGGCAAGGTATACATATAAAAGAAGAGAAAAATATATTTTTTGAAATCATCTGTTTATCGGACTTTAGCCAATTTGGTCCAATTTCAGTACTGTGAAAAAATCTCTAAAATTCAGTCCAAATTTAAAAATTCATTCTGGGATGTTGCCATTAAGTCTGGTTATGTGTATTTAGGCAAGATATACATATAAAAGAAGAGAAAAATATATTCTTGGAAATCATCAGTTTATGGGACTTTAGCCAATTTGGTCCAATTTCAGTACTATGAAAAAATCTTCAAAATTTAGTCCAAATTTAAAAATTCATTCTGGGATGTTGCCATTAAGTCTGGTTATGTGTATTTAGGCAAGGTATACATATAAAAGAAGAGAAAAATATATTCTTGGAAATCATCAGTTTATGGGACTTTAGCCAATTTGGTCCAATTTCAATACTGTGAAAAAACCTGTAAAATTCAGTCAAAATTTGAAAATTCATTCTGGGATGTTGCCATTTACTCTGGTTATGTATATTTAGGCAAGGTATAAACATAAAAGAAGAAAAATTATATCCTTTGAAATCATCAGTTTATGGGACTTTAGCCAATTTGGTCCAATTTCAGTACTGTGGAAGAATCTTCAAAATTCAGTCCAAATTTGAAATTTCATTAATATGATGGAGCAGTTTAGTCTTGTAATGTATTTTAAGGCAAGGAACAAATAGAAAAAAAACACAAAAAATCATATGCTTTGAAATCATCTCAATACTGAACTTTAGCCAATTTGGTCCAATTTCAGTAATTTGGAAGAAATCTTTAAAATTTAGGCAAAATTTAAAAATTCAATCTGAAATGTTGCAGTTTTGTCTGATTATGTGTATTGAAGTGAGGAGTATGTATTAAAAAAGAAAAGAAAATCCATTGGAATCATCAATTTATGGGATTTTAGCTAATTTGGTCCTGCATCACATACTTTATTTTTGTCATTTCAGGTTTCCTCATGTTGATGGAACAGATTTGTCCACATTCAGAAGCTTCCCGATAGTAATGCAGAAGTTCTCCATGTTGTAGTGGTTGGACATGTGTTGAATTGAATCATGTTCCAATATTACAGCTGGTTAAGTGCTGTATTAAACGTCATGACATCTTCAATATGTAATTCAGGAGCAACAACATCCACATCTGAGAACATCTTGTATCCTACAGTGAAGAGACAGATAAGTGATAGAAATATATTCTTTGAATATGGCTTCTTCATTTGTGAAAAAATTATGCTAATACTGGCAGTACAAAGTTTAAGTATCACTTTCATTTCAGTAGAACATCGAATAAAGTATGATTTCATTGCATTTTAAGCTCACCTTGACAACATTAAAGTGAGCTTTTGTTATGGGGATTGGGCCATCGTCTGTTCCTATGGGTCTGGCACCAACAAAGTAAGGTTTTCATTTTGAAACTATCCTCTTTATATTTCAGCTAGACACTTATCTCGCCACACTTATCTTCTCAAAATCTACTAACTTTCAAAATTCCAGAGTTTGAAAGTACAGTTATGATATGTTTCTCCACAACAAAGATGGATTTTGATTTTGAAAAAAATCAATATGTTGGTCATAGCAGGATGTTGATGGGTTTCACTGCCATTATGCCTACTGACAAATATGTAATAAACTTAGCTTACCCATGTGAAAATGAACTGGTCTAGAAAGTAGAATAAGACCACTTACATGGAATATTGTGAAAATAAAATGTTAAACATTCACTTCACTGACACAATGACAATTTATAGAGAAATGGTCTCCTACTGATAACATCATGAACCAAGGTCGTGTCTTCATGATTACACTTTATGTAGTGTTGTGAACATTTTGAAGGTAACACATTATGAAAATGTATAAAAACAAGATATGTAGGTAAAATGCACACAACTTAGTACATTTGTAATTATGTTCTCTTAGCATAAAAAATAATAATAATAATACCATCAGTGAAATATGTTGTTGTAAAGCTGAAAACAAACCATTTATGATGATGAGCATAAAAATTATCAGAAGAAAAAGAAACTTATTTTGTTATTATGGCACAAACAAACAAACTATACATAATGGGTTACTAAAAATACAACATCCGGTCATAGGCAAATGATTCATAAAAAACATAATGGCATCATTAAAATGGTGTGTGGAAATTACATACATGTACATTCATTTGAAGCTACATAGAAATATATTGATTGTACTCCTGCATGACATGTATTCTTGCATTTCTTTATGCATGTTTATACATGTACAAGTGAGAACCTACATTTGTCAATGATTCTATTCCTAATCTGTCTACCTTTAGACAGGTTAACTAACTTAGTCAGGAGGGGTGACCGGTGGTAATTAGCATTTACTCAACTGTATGGTGTGTTTGTTTAACCAGTAGGCATAATGGGAAGGCGACGCTCATGGTTGTTTGAAAAAGAATTGCAGTTTGGCTAGATTCTTGGTCATTAATGATGTCTACCAGTTTAAAATTTGTTAATGGTCATGTCAAGCTTTTTTTCTTTCTGGATATCATCTTGGTTTATCAGGGATTGTATTTATTATATCTTTTCTAAAAGGATGTGGGCTTTCCACTTTAAAAATATAGTATGCCTTAAAACAAAATTCAGTATGGCTGCTATGACACCAGCTTTTAGCTATGCTTGTAGAAGAAATAATAGTTTTTTCAAATTACTTTGTCATTAACCAGTCATTGCCTTCAGAATTGGTGTACAGCTTCTTCTTATGATTCTGACAATAATAGAGGATATTTCAAGTTTCGCAATGTCCTTTATATTATATGCTATTTTTATGAAAATTACACATTCAAATGTGCTGATCACAGTACAAATTTTCCCAACATCGCATCTTGTTGCAACGTCTTATCATTGTCAGTGACATCACAAAATTGTTCAAGTGATGTCATGTGATTGTTTCGGTGTCATCATGCCATTGTACTTGCTGTATAGCAGTGATATCACACAATTGAATTCAGTGCAGTGACGAGAAAAATTATATTTCACTGCAGTGAAAATATCACTTTTTGTCTGAGAAAACACAGTATTTAACTACTTTGCATATAATAAGATTAAATTTTCAAACACCCAAGTTTTGATATGCTGAAATACCCTGATTTTAATGATTATGAGTGAGAGATAATTGACATAAAGCAGCGTTAGAAATTGGCACTAGTCCTGTAGTTCTTGCCAAACTGCCCAATGGTTAAGGTATCATAAGGACTAGTAGAAATTTGCCGTTTATAAGGCTTTTGCTACTTGTTATCAAGGACTAGTGGACTAAAACTGTTAGTTTCTACCCCTGTAAAGTGTTTAATGGCCTCTGACAAGGGGTGACTAGTGCATCATACACACACATTTAGAATGTATTCACCTCATGCTGTTAGTGAGATCTACCCAAAATTCTATAGTGAGTTTTTTTTCATGGGAGAATTTCTGCTTTCATTATCTGATTAATATTTTAAAAATTAAATGTTTCTATCATTACTGAAAGATTTTGCTTCATGTCTTACAGGGGCGGTCGGGTTGCCTAGTGGTTAAAGCGATCGCTCGTCACGCCGAAGACCCGGGTTCGATTCCCAACATGGGTACAATGAGTGAAGCCCATTTCTGGTGTCCCCCGCCGTGATATTGCTGGAATATTGCAAAAAGCGGCGTAAAAAACAATACTCACTCATGTCTTACATGTTATATGTAAGGATGCTGCACTATGGATCCTCTCTGAAATGATTTCATTACCAGAAAGTTATTTCATTTGTGCCAGTTCACAGAGATCAAGCACTGTAAATTTCTTTATAAGTATCAAATATTCAAGCTTTATCAATTAGGCATAATATTCTCAATGAAAAGAAAAGATGTGTTTAATTAAACATTTGTTTTTCCATCAGGACATCACATTCAAGATCATATACCTAGCTAATCTAACATTGTAACTAATGTTATATTTGGGATAACACTTTCTTAGTAAAGTACAGATTCTAGTAAGTTGTCGGACTTTCATTTTTGTGGAAGCCTCGGTGGCTGAGTGGCTGACTTTGTGTGCTGGCGATTAGGTGCCTCACCCTGTCAGGTGTGGGTTCGAATCCTGCACGGGACTCAACCCCCCAAAAGTACTAAAAGTACTAGAATCTGTACTTTACTCAGAAAGTGTTATCCCAAATATAACATTAGTTACATTTGACCACTTTCTAAATGGCATTGTGGATTCATAATCTAACATTCTTTTATTAAAACCAAAATGAGAACACTTTAGTGTTGAAACCACGGGAAAATGACACCTATGTTTTATGTGCTTTTATTTTATTTTCCCAATGAGTATGCTTATGAAGTGCATCTAAATATTATTGTCTGAGGTGTCTCATAGGCCTTATGGCTGAATATTGTATATTTTTTAACAATGAATATTGTTACAGTGAACTACATTTAAAGGGGCACTGATCTAACGGAATTCCCCGGACTGGTTGTTGCCTTTGTTATTGTTTTTTCCCCCGTGAGTACCCGGATGATACGCAACGCAACTGAGCGTGACCAGAGACTGGTCTACCGTCTGCAAGGACAGCAAATAAACTTGGAGACTGGAGGCAATATTTGTTTTACGCATTTTTGCATAAACACTGATTGGTTAACTGTGATCTATAAAGATTTCGACAAAGGGCGCATGTTAATTAATTTCTTCAGCCTAAACAAACAGACAAAAAGAACGGCGGAGCTCATCGGATGTCGTCATTTGGAAATACCCCAGATGGTTATAGTTTAATAATAAAAAAAGGTATCCATGCAGTGAAAGCATTCTCAGATTTCAGATTGCGTCGATAATACGATTGCTACTCCCTTGTTGTCATCCACGTTTTCTCGTATAACCCTACACTTGTGTATTTGTCGTCATTCCCTTGATACTCAGTTAATGAATTTATTACAGGTACAATTAGTGGTAGCATCACTTAGATTACCTGACAAAGGTTCCCATTTGGCATTTATTGTGTCTGTGGTAATTATTCAATCTAAATCCAGGTTTGAAGTGAGGTGAAATGTGTGTTATGTAATATGCATATATCAGACCAGCAAGAGGTGAATGATCAGTTGATTTACTTTTTTTTGTAAATCAACGGATCGTTCCTAGTCATCAAAGGATTAACAGAAAATACGTTGATTGATTAATCACTTTTATCTTGCACAGTGGATATGTCAAAAGTGAGTGTTTACATGTCTAGGTTTACTAAAACAAAGGGAATACACTCATACTATGGCGTGAAGTGCCGATGTAAAAACAACATACTTTGTTCAAAGGGTTAACTGATAATACGTTGATTGATTGATCATTGTTATCTATCACTCAATGGATTTTTCAGGAACCGTAGACGTTATGAAAATAGTTGTCACGTGGGCTTTCTCAGCCGACCCTTGAGACTTGACACCTAGGCTCCCCAAATTGGGAGCCTCCTGGTCCACACTCCCAGTTCAAATTTTTGCCTGTAAAGCCCAATCTTTGTGATTTCTGCAGGTATTTACAGAAACATGATGGACAACCAAGCAAATGTCATCTGGTTGCATTGTAAACATAAAATTATGCCAATTATGTGACTAGATTAGTCTTTTGAGGAGAAAATGTGGTACAAAATTAGCCTAAAAAGGCCAAAATTGGCCAGCTTCAAAGACAATTTTCAAGTAACCAAGCATTCTCTTATATCAAAGTTCAACCATTTTTCTCTCTGTTTCAATGGTTTTTATCATTGTTCCAAACTCAGTGTTGGTGTGGGAATGATTAAAAGAAATTCTACTTTGGGAGTGTTCACACTCCCACTTTCACCACTGATTGTCACTTCAATACGGATTAATCATGTTAATACTAAAATTACTTTAATTTACTATTCAGGTTCCCTTCGAGTCACAGCTGATTTCTTTGAAAACAAGGTGAGATATTACCATGTATTACCATTACACATGTATCTGCAGAAACCATAGTACATCTAGCTGCGGAAACCATAGTACATCTAGCTGCAAAAAACATAGTACATCTAGCTGCAAAAAACATAGTACATCTAGCTGCGGAAACTGTAGTACATCTAGCTGCGGAAACCGTAGTACATCTAGCTGCAAAAAACATAGTACATCTAGCTGCAAAAAACATAGTACATCTAGCTGCGGAAACTGTAGTACATCTAGCTGCGGAAACCGTAGTACATCTAGCTGCGGAAACCATAGTACATCTAGCTGTAAAAAACATAGTACATCTAGCTGCAAAAAACATAGTACATCTAGCTGCAAAAAACATAGTACATCTAGCTGTGGAAACCATAGTACAACTAGCTGCGGAAACCGTAGAACATCTAGCTGCGGAATCCGTATACCAGCTGCACATATTGGGGTAGTAATTATAGGGTGCAACATCACAGAGTTATGGTTTCTGCAGCCAGACTACATCTTATGCTTAAACTTAATTTCTACATAACTCTGACATTAATTATGTTTGATTTGTCATAACACTATCCAGAATTCCCAACTACACTCAGCTGCCAGCTAGACTTTCTTAATGAGTTCAACTCAGATCCCCCTGTTTCCTACCCTGCAGTACCTTGTCTTTGCTATCATGGACAGGCTGAGTGAATAGTTGTTGTTTTAGGACTTTATAAATTTTGATTTTTTTTTAGTTTCCATGGCAACAAGTTGGACTTAACATTAATATGAGGGTGGGGTTGGTTCGCGGAGTATAACTGAAAAAACGTTCAATACTTTCTAACAAAACTTAGCATGTCTACCAGGCACATTCTGAAATGGTGCCTTTTAATATTTAGAAATTTTTGAATGTTTTTTTTTTAACATTTTTATGGCAACAAGTTGGACTTAGGTTCTATGAGGGTAGGGTTCATTTCCAGAAAATAACTGCTAAACCATTTAGTATTTTGAATCAAACACATGCTGAACTGGTGCCTTTTGCTATTCAACAATTTTAGAACGCTTTATTTTAAGGTTTTCATGGCAGCTCTTTGAACTTGGGCTTAAAGAAATGTTGAGTTAGTTTACCTGGTTTCGGACCATTACATGTTAAGGTTGGCAGGGAATATAGATGACTTCGTCGACTATATGCTTGTTGAAATTTAAACTGTTAAAGCGGAAACTGTCTAATGAATTGACTGTTTGACTTTTCTTCACAGAAATCAGAAGTTTGCAGTTACATTAAGAGGGTAAGTTCAGGTAATATACTCTATAAAGTACATGGCCATGGAGAATGATCTGAAGTCCTAAAAATGCACATCACATCTGGCCAAAATAAACCAATTCAATGTATGTATCCTTTCCTTTTATATAACACTGTTGTTGATATTCCTGTATATCACATTGAAAGTTAGCAGTCACATATACACCAACATCACACAACAGTCAATATAAAATGAATGTGGCATTCTTGAGGCACTTTTGTCTTTACAGTGGGGACAAGGACGTGGTGAGAGACACAACTGGTTTGTTACCAAGTATCCCTACCATGAAGTCAAGGCTGGATTTGGGTCAGATTTTGTGTCTGCTGAAGTAAGAAAATGAATTCATATGTACAGCTAAATTTCATTAAAGTATGAGAATGATAATGTTCACAATTAAGTCCTAAGTCCACAATTTAGTAGAGAAAATTTCCAAAATTTCATTGTTGAAAAAGTTTCAATCCCATGACTGTAACAATTCTTATGTTGTGATAGTAATCATCATCTTATGCAATAAACACAATGTACATGTTCTTTTGTTTCTGACATACACTTTTCTGCATATAGGTAAAATATAAGTGTTCATGAAGATTAAAGTAAAATGTTTGGGGGAAAAAATGGCAAATAGTTGATGATATCAGTTGCTCAGTGAATTGTACTTTATACATGGCAAAACAAATTTCAGATGTATGGGCACATACTTCAGTGGCTGGGGCAATCCTTGACACGCCGTCTAGTGAGAGATAAACTGTAAGAATAATGGTGAATAGTGTAGATTCTTTTCTAAAGTCCCCAATGGCACAAATTTAAAATCAGTGTAAATTCACAGTTTTATGCATGTTGTTTTGAGCATATATTTACCAGTGTTTACCAAATTGAATGAGAACAGAGCAGTAGTTAAATGTGATTAGGAAAAGTTTACATCTAAAGCATATTCACAGAAGAAGCTTATCATTTGATTAGACATACAGATGAAATTGATACATTGAAAATTGCTCATGGTCTAAATTTCACATTAATGTCACTGACCACCTTTGATTCCTTTCAGTCGCCCTTACACTAAGCCAGTGACTCAGATCTTTACTGTGCCGGAACTTCCAATGGAGTACACACAGTAAGCACAGAAAATACAATTTATTATTCTATTTCTATCGGTGAAATACTGCATTTATCGGTTAAAATAAAACCTGCATCTACACTGAGTTAGATATCAAAATAAAAAAGTAAACAATGTGATGACTTAATGTGTATCACCAGGCAACAAGACGACTGACACAGTGAATGTACTGAATTTGCGAGTCATCGGTCCGGTTTTCATAAAATTCAGCAATAAGGAAGAATAGAATAAATAGAACATTTGACTTTCCCTGTCGAATACCGTGTTTATGTCATCTCGTGAAGTTGAAAAGTTTAATTTTTACACTTGCGGCTACGCCACTCATGAAAATACAAACTAGTCAACTTCACTCGATGAGATAAACACTGTATTCGACAGGGAAAGTCAAATATCCTCTATACGTGTTTGTCTCCTTCAGTTAGGAAAACAAACATGTCTGTTACATTTCATTATTGACAATTTTAGGTTGTATTATCTGAAGCAGACATGTTCCAGAAATATAATAGTATGTATTATGTGTACAGGTTTGCTTGTTTGATTTCTGGTACATAGTTATAGGTACAATGTTGTTAGATACATTATTATTAAACACTCACTGGAATGAATGCTAAACAGAAACGAACCAATTTGGTGAAAGGGAACAGAAATTCAGTCATATTTTGTTAGAATATATCCCACATTGGAAAAACATTTAGTATTGTGAAAATGGAGACACCAAAGAATGAGATAATAGTCTTGTAAAGTAATAATCAAGTACAATGTAACTAGTGAAGCTACTGAAAATAAATATATTCATTGTAATTGTAAAAAACTAATTCTTTGAATTTTTGGCAAGTAAATGATTTCCAATTATTCCAGTTACAACTTACATTTATGAAACTGGAACTGGAGATATTTATTTTATTCTTAAAATTGAGTCTGGTTATAAATATGCTCTAATTTATTACAGGGCTGCATGGCACTGCATCGGTATGTGGCCATTAAGGAAGTAATCATATTCCTTGCTGAGAAACTGACAGGGAGAACCTACTCTTCAATCAACCCAGAGTGTCAAAGGACAGAATTGCATTCAAAAGAGCTTTAATTGCATAATTATGATGCTCCTTTGAAAGGGTTACTGTTTTAATGAATGCAGCCAACTCATTGATGCCTTGATGTGGTTTGGTTGTTCTCTGTACCTTTCTTTCATTCACATATGGACCCATGAAGATTCCAGGGTAGAACAGGTCTTCAGCAACCATCCTTGCCGTAAAAGGCGACTATGCTTGTTGTAAAAGGCGACTAACAGGATCGGGTGGTCAGGCTCGCTGACTTGGTTGATACATGTCATCGATCCCCAATGCGTAGATCGATGCTCATGATGTCAATCACTGGATTGTCTGGTCCAGACTTGATTATTTTACAGACCGCCATCATATAGCTGGAATATTGCTGAGTGTGGCGTTAAACAACAAACAAACAAATCATTCACATATGTGTATAGAACATGCCTCAGTCTCCTCCCATTGATGTATATTTCAGTGAATATAGTAACACCATGTTAGTGCAGATCATTGTGTGTGTTAAACTTATCCATGTTTATGAATTTCCAAACTATTTGATGTAGCATGTTTTGGTGAATCAATAATCGAAAAAAGAATAGGGGTATACTATAGAAACAGATCTTAACGGTTCTCCTTGTAACTAACCTGATCATAAAGAAAAGGCATGTGTATCATTATAGCAGTAAACTTGTGCTTTTAGCTATTTCTGGATTTATTGAAAGTCTGTCTGTTGACATTGAAACAATTTGAACTTGGATTTAGATGGAGTGGGGTGTTGTTCAAGATCAAAATTTAAGAATTATGAGACATGTTTTCATGAAACATGCAGAATGATTAATCAGATAGTGGACAATTGTCTTTTGCTACTGAACAATGTTTTAAGGTTTCAAGTTGTTACTTTTTCTGGAATAAAGTTTGAGTTACATTCAGTTGAGTTGAATTTCTTTAAAAGGAGAAAGAATATTAATGATATCTTCAAAACAAATTGGAAAATGATCAGTCAGATATTGTTGATGTGACTTTGGATATGTTTGAATATAGACAATTTTTTATAACCTTTTATTTTTTATTCTTATTTATGAGATTGATGATATATTGTGAGGCTGCAGGGGGATGTGTCATATTCTCATGACTCTTGTTATCAGTGTTTGTTTAATAACATTAGCAGTTTACATTGAATGTCAAAATAAACTTTGCTAAAATATATTTAGATGTAAATTTCCTAAAAGGTGTGATTTGATCATCATATGATCATCAGTTTGTTCATTTGAAAAGCATAGCAGTAACCATTTTCTGGTTATTATCAATAATTTTGGCTGATGTCATCATTGATTAATACTTACAATTGAGTAAACCTGTTCTTAAAAAAGTTAGTAAATGTTAGTAAAACACTGAAAGTTCAACATCAAATCTTGCATATATAGTTCTTGCGCTCAGATTGTAACATGTTTTTGCAGGTTGGTGTCCATATCTAAGTCTATAGAACTTGAAAACATTGTATCTGGTTTTAATGAATCAATTTACCAAAACATGATTGTCACGTAGAGGTATTTTCTTGACTACAGGGGCTTCAATATACATTGCCATTAACTGATATTGGACATCACATTGGCCTGAACATATTTATACTATATGGGTTTATTCTGTGTAAAGTTGACTTTGTTACATGCATGTCCTTTGAAGTTAGTTAATAATTAGATTGTTTGCTTGTGATCTATTTTACAGAGTTGTCATGAATTTATTCACTTGGTATCATTTTCTTCTACTGGGTCAAAACAGATAATATTTTTCTGTTATTTTAATTATATTATTCAAATAAAAATAAGGTAGAATTGTTCGAGAATACATTGCATACAATAGTAATACAAAATATTTAAAGATCAATGAATTCTTTATGATGCAACAATAGTGTTCATGTGTGAGTGAATGAATGGTTGTGAATGTTGGTTCATGTATTTGTCTTCTGTATTTAACAAAGACCAAAAACATTCCACATTTAGTTTTCTGCATGTGTCTCCAACTACCCTTTTTGTAACAGATGTTCTGCCACAATTAAATGTGAATTATAAACACAATCACGTGGACGAATTTGTACCTCATCTACTTTTGTTTGAGCATGTATTATGTACATGAAATGTATTGATGGTTTTATTAGGTGAACTAGAACTCTTCTTCAATGTATATTTTAAGTCAGATTTTTTGTTTCAGAGTTAGTGTATGAATGAAAGTGAGGATTGAGTAAGGATTGTAATGAGTGCTTACTGGTATGTGAAGGACTCTTCTGTTGATATTTCTTGTGAAGTAATAAAAGTTATAATTGAAATTTGTCTTTGTTTCTGAAATGACATAGAAAGATAATCTATTGTAAGTCTCACACACCAGGTTGGATGTCCACATACATATATGCAAAGCAGTGTGGCATGAATACATATAGGTTTATTGCCTGATGGGTTAAAGAGCACATGTGCATGAAGTTTCAAATTTTAACTCACTTTCTTTGACTTCTCAAAATTACCTGATTTGATTATTTCAAAGGATATTATTTCATAAGATTTTTCCAAATTATTGAAAATAAAGTGAGGGAGTGAGTGAGTTGGTTTTGAATGTGGCTTTCCAGAATATTTCACTGATCTCACGACGTCCAGATTTAATGTAGGAGAACCAACACCACCATGGTAGTTAAGTGATGTAGTAAGACCTGGAGGACAATGCTGGTATCTGGCTGACAGAGGGTGTTATGCAGCATGCATTCGCAATGTAGCATTGCACCCTTATTTCACCACTGCTGCTAATGGGAATCAAACTCTGGATCTTCAGTGAGCGCCCTGATGAAACAAGTGGCTGAAGGCAGGCTCACCAACCACTGAGCTAACCAACCCATTCCCCTCCACCCCCAATTGAAATATGGAACACATTGGCTTAAATACTAAAATTGATGATTTCAAAGGATTTTACTTTTTCGTATGTTCTATGCTGAAATACACATAATCAACTTAAGTCAACATCACAGATAAAGTTTTCAAATTTTGACTGAGATAATATTATTATTTTTTCCAAATTACTGAAACTGGCCCAAATTGGCTAAAGTCCAATAATGAGGTGATTTCAAAGGATATTATTTTTATTCTTTTTTTCTATTTGTTTCTTTCCTTAAAATACATTGAAAAATTCAACTGCTCCATCATAAAATGAAATTTCACATTTTGACTGAATTTTGAAGATTTTTTCACATTATTAAAATTGGACCAAATTGGCTAAAGTCCCATAAACAGATGATTTCCAAGAATATAATTTTTTCTTCTTTTATATGTATACCTTGCCTAAATACACATAACCAGACTTAATGGCAACATCCCAGAATGAATTTTTAAATTTGGACTAAATTTTGAAGATTTTTTCACAGTACTGAAATTGGACCAAATTGGCTAAAGTCCCATAAACTGATGATTTCCAAGAATATATTTTTCTCTTCTTTTATATGTATATCTTGCCTAAATACACATAACCAGACTAAATGGCAACATCCCAGAATGAATTTTCAAAGTTTGACTGAATTTTACAGGTTTTTTCACAGTACTGAAATTGGACCAAATTGGCTAAAGTCCCATAAACTGATGATTTCCAAGAATATATTTTTCTCTTCTTTTATATGTATGCCTAAATACACATAACCAGACTAAACGGCAACATCCCAGAAGGAATTTTCAAATTTTTACTGAATTTTGAAGATTTTTCCACAGTTTTGAAACTGGACCAAATTGGCTAAAGTCCCATAAACTGATATATTCCAACACTAAATTTGGACCAAATTGGCTGAATCCCCGTGTTATTGTTAGATTCCTTATATGTTGTATATCTACGATGAAACTGTAATTTCTAT